CCCTCCCACCCCAAACCATTCCATGATGACAGAAATGTGCCAGCTGGCTGATGGAGCCTCATCCCAAAGCCCATTTCCCCAGAGAGCCCAAGGGACGGGTTGTGTTTTCCTGCTGGGATCAGCAGTGGATTTGGGGTTCCCTGGTGTCTGTGCCCACATCCCGTGGAGCAGAACCCTCCTCAGCCAGGTTCTCCCACACACCCACAGCTCTGGTTGTGCCAGCAGCCATTGGGGTGTGTGCAGTGAACCCTCAGCACAATCTGGGGGCTTAGAATTCCCTTTAAGAGTTAAAAAAGTGAACTGGGAGGAGCCCAGAGCTGCTTGCTGTGCTGCCAACAGAGGTAAAACTCCCAGGAGGGCTTGGGAATGCCCAGAGCTGTGGAGCCCTGTCCTGGCAGAGCTGTGTGGGGCTGCTCCCCTGTGCCCCCACCCTGCTGCAGCCCCTCTGCCTTCCTGGGGCCCATGAGCCAGCCCTGGCTGCTGGGGCGCGTCCCTGGGCACATCCCTGGGCACATCCCTGGGCACATTCCTGTGCTCATCCCTGGGCACATCCCTGGGCACATCCCTGGGCACATCCCTGGGCACATCCCAGCTCTCTCTGTGCTCATCCCTGGGCACATCCCTGGGTGCATCCCTGGGCACATCCCTGGGCACATTCCTGGGCACATTCCTGCTCTCTCTCTGCTCATCCCTGGGCATATCCCTGTTCTCTCTGGGCACATCCCAACTCCTTGGGCACATCCTGGCTCCCTCCAGGCATATCCCAGCTCCCTCTGGGCTCATCCCTGGACACATCCCTGGGCACATCCTTGCTTTCTCTGGGCACATCCCTGGGCACATTCCTGCTCTCTCTGGGCACATTCCTGCTCTTCCTCTAGGCACATCTCTGGGCTTGTCCCTGTGCTCATCTCTGGGCACATGCCAGCTCCCTCCAGGCACATAACTGCTCTCTCTGGGCACATCCTTGTGCACATCCCTGGGCACATCCCAGCTCTCTCTGTGCACATCCCTGGGCACATTCCTGGGCCCATCCCAGCTCCCTCTGCCAGCCTGGCACGGGCAGCATCTCCTGGAGTGGACATTGCATGGGGTCCCCCCTGCTGCATGTGGTTATTGTCACCTCTGTCACCTCCCTGCCAGCTCTCCTTGGATGTTTTCCCCTGCTGGAGTCCCTCCGCTGTGCCCTGCTCTGCCTGTGGGCTGTGTGCATCCCGGAGGAGCCAGGCTGCACCTGCACTCCCTGCGGTTAAACCTGTCCTGGGTTTTCCCAGCAGGAATTTGGGCAGGGCTGAGAGAGACCTGTGGGACCCCTCTGTGCTGTGGGACAGAGCCACCTCTGGGTCTGCTGCTTCCTCCTTGGGTTTCCTCTCCAGCCCATGGGCAGGAGGATCTCTGATTTTAGGAATTTAGGAAGTTTTCAGCTCAATGCCTGGCAGTGGAAAATGTCTTCTTGTGATTCTGCTTCTGTAGTTAGTCGATAAAACAGAACAAACACCTGATTTTTTGCTGAATAATGAATAAATCAGGCATTTGGGCAGGTGAGGGGTGGTTAAAACCACCTGCACCCTCTTTTCCCTATGTGCTGCCAGCCCATCCCTGCTCATCTCCTTTAATCAATCCATTAATCAACCATTCCTCATTAATAAATAGTCCCTTAATATAACATTTAACTATTAAGGGTATTCTGAGACCTCCCAAGGAGTTATCTGCACTCCCAAGAAGACATTTCCCTAAAAATAATAATAAAAAAAAAAGGACAAGGATGTTGTAATCCTGAAAACACATGAAAGCACATTGTACAGGCTGAAATAAATATTATACTGCAATGTTTTTATTATTATTTTTCAGGCAGGCTGAGCTCAGTAGCACAGACAGCCCCAGCAGTGCAAGATGACTCGTAGGATTAAGGCACATGAAAGCAACAGGGAAAAAAAAATGTATTCAAAAACAACTCTGGTTGCTTTCATCTTGTTTTTCCACACCCCTTAGCAGAGCAAAATAAAAAGCCTTGGTGACCCTGGTCAGAAGGAAATGTTTTTCAAATGCCTCCACTGTACTTTTAACTACCAGGAAAAAAAAAATGTAGTTGAAAGAGAGCTGCAGATTCTGTTTCCCTTTATCCAATTAATTTTAAGGGTTTGGATTCTGATCTGGCATCAGTTGCACCAAAAAAAAACCCAAAAAAGCCTCCCACATTTCAAGAGTCCTTCCATCTGAAAGGTATTAGCAGGATGAGAGGAGTGGAGATGGATTTCAGGAGGGCACCGAGTGCTTCTGAATGATTTCCCTCCTTATTTCAAGGTGAAGCAACTTTTTCTGAGCTCTTCATGCATTAAAAGCTGAATTTGCTGATATATTTGTAAAATCCCCTGTCTGTGAGGAACTATCCTGCTCTGCCTTGGTGTGACCTCAGTGTCTCTCCACTTGTGAAATCCACAGTAATGCTGCCTTGGCCTTGTGTAAACCCAGAATATTTACATTGCTGCAGTTTGAAAGGAGCTGGAGTGCCCACAGCCATCCCTGTGGTCACACTTTCATTGGAGAGAGGCAGTAAATGCAGTCCTGGGGTCCAAACACTCTTCTTGGAACACTCCCAGCAATTTGGTCACAGGCAGAAATTTCCACATTTGAAGAGAAAAAAAGGAGGAATCCCAGCCAGAGGCAAAGATATAAAATTCATGTGAGTGCTTTTAGATGCAGCCATGCCCTGAGCCCTAGATATATTGTTTAATTACCTATTTTATAAATATAAATGTATATTTCTTTTTCCAGAGGAGCTTGTGCTGGTTGTCCTGGCAGAGCCAAGCGCTTTGTGGGCTGTGTGCTGTGTGCTCCCATCCCTCAGGAATGCTCTGCTGCTTTTCCTTAAACCTTCCAAAGGTCCCAAAAAACCTTCTGGAGCTCAGGGCATGTTCTCCTCCCAGCTGGGATGTTCCTGGCACTGCAGGACTGGGAGAGAGGAGTGCTGCCCCGGCTTTGCTGGGTTTGGAGCTTTTCCTTTGGCTTTGGATCCTGTGTCCGTCCTGCTCCTCCCCTGCTGCCCATTCCTGGAGGGCACTGAGGGACAGAGGGAAGGACCTGGCTGGCACCAGAGGCTGCTCATCCCAAAAACCCACCCAGGCTGTGGTGGGAGGCAGGATCAGTGAGGAATCACTCATAAATTATACAGGGATCACTTGGGGATCGCTCAGGGATCACACAGGAATATTTCAGGAATTACACAAGAATCAGGAATCTAGGGATCACAGAGGA